AGAGGTTTTCCTCAATTCAAACTCAAGAAGGAGACGCATGGAAGTGTTACTGTCCGACAGCAAGTGGGGCTGGACGGGCAACAAGGCCTCAGGGGAGTCCCCATCCCACCGGGCTGGGGGGTGGGGGCAGAGATTGGAGATGTTTTCAGCGGTTACATGGGCATATACAATGATCAACCCTCATCAACCTGACCACCTTATACCTTAATTTTAAAAAGAAAGAATACTAAAATACTCTTTTCTTAGAGTTTTGGTCTAAAACAGATTAGCCTGCCTGGCCATGGTTTGATTCCCGGTCAGGGCACATGCCCGGGTTGTAGGCTCCATCCCTAGTGTGGGGCGTGCAAGAGGCAGCCGATCAATGATTCTCTTTCATCATTGATGATTCTCTCCCTCTCTCTCTTTCTCGCTCTCTCTCTCTCTCCCTCTTCCTCTCCCTTCCTCTCTGAAATCAACAAAAATACATTAAAAAAATAAAATAAAAAATAAAACAGATTAGCACAGCAAACAGAATTAACTCCCAAGTCCCAGAGGTCCTGCACCTTCACACACACACACACACACACACACACACACTCACACACACACTCATACACACACTCACACACACACTCACACATGCACACTCACACATACACATACACACACTTGTACACACACTCGCACACACACATACACACACACAGATAAATTTGATGAACTCAAAATTAAAAACTTGGCAGTGACCCCACAGTGCGCCCTCTCTCACCAGGAGCCTGCCGATCCCCCCACTGCCACCCCCTCCCCATGGTCTCTAACTGCACTCAAGTCATCTCCGGTTCTAAACCTCAGCGCTCCATAAATCATAGTTTGTGTGTGTGTTTTTCAGCAAAATACGGATGTTTTTGAAACCACTTTCCCCTCTAAAGGCCTCCTCCTTCCTTGTTAGCTCCGGGCCGGCCGAGCTGCTTCATAAATAATGCAGCTCCCTCTCTCATCTCAATTATAAACTCGGATCTCTCCTTGTTGGGAAGGACCCACGTGGCCCCTCTGGGGTTGCTTCCTTGTTCCTCCAGTCCAGCCAGTGGCCACCCTCCCCCGCCCTGGAGGAAGGGCCGCCCTGGCCCTCCGCGCAGCAGGCTGTGTCCTGGGCTCGGTCACTTTAAAGCCCCTTCGGTCCTGCTGCCCTGCTCGCTCCCTGCTGCCTGAGGGTCTGTGTGGGAGGTGCCTTGGTGCCCACGGTTCCCGGGCAGCAGCCTTTTCCACAGGATCCTGTGCTCCATGTCACCAGCCCCAGGGGATGGAAGTGGTGACGTCAGCGTCCAAATCTCAATGGCTCTGAGTCCCTGCCTACTTTCCTGCAGGGATCCTAAGGCTCACACGCTCCAAATATTTACCACTTGGCACCAGTCAGACCCGAGGGCTGCTCCCCGCCCCAGCTAGAAAAACTGGATGTCCATAGAGCCAAGCCCGGCCGATGTGGCTGAGCGGCTGAGCACTGAACCATGAACCGAGAGGTTGCTGGTTCGATTCCCGGTCAGGGCATATGTCCAGGTTGCGGACTCGATCTTCAGCAGGGGGTGTGCAGGAGGCAGGCCATCGATGATGCTCTCTCATCGCTAAGTTTCTATCTCTCTCTCTCTCCACCCTCCCTCCCTTTCTCTCTCTCAATGCCGGCCCTGTCCCCATCACCCAACTCCGCTGGTGGCCTCAGTGAGGCTGGGCCTACCTGGGGCTGGAGGCTGGTCGCTTGGCGTCCTTCCTGCAGGGACACGTTCTTCCCTGGGCCCCTGGAAGGAACCAGTCCTGCTGACACCTTGATTTCAACACAGGGAGACCCACAGCTGATGTCTGACCTCCAGAACTGAAACATAAAACGTATGTTCTTTTAAAGCCACTGAGCCTGCGGTCATTTGTTATAGTGGCAAAAGGAAACTAATACACTCTAGGAGTCAGCAGACTATGCAATGGCATCTTTCCTGTCCTGGAGGAGAGGAAGGGTAAAGGTGCTATAATAACTCAATGAATCAATGAACTGCCACTTGGGTCACCAGTCCCCTTACCCCTCTCTCTGCATCCTTAACACTCAGGGGTCCCAGCATCTCGCCACAGGGAGACCCGCCGGTTCAAACGCTGATACCGCAGCCAATCCTAGAGACAGACTCAGTTCAAACCTTTCCATCAGCCCCAGCACTTCTAACACATGCTGAATGAGAACATGAGAGAGCACCTAACGTTCATTACTGCGTTTTTCTCTCTTCACACATCCTCGCCAGTGATCTCCTGGCCCAGCACAGGGAGACGTGCGGCTGTTCATAGTTGGATTCCAAAGAGAAGAGACCATGTCCATGTCTTGATGTCCAGGACAGGCCCCTGAGGTCCATGCCACAAAAGACAGGGAGGTGTCCGGCCGCAAGAGCCAGGCACTTCGAGAAAAAAAGTCTCATCTCCAAAAGCATCTTGTTCCACGTCAATAACCAAAGCCAGACTCGGGGTGTGGGCTCGATCCCTAGCATGGGGCGTGCGGGAGGCAGCCGATCCGTGATTCTCTCTCATCATGGATGTTCCTGTTTCTCGTCTCTCTCTCTCCTCTCTCTCTCTCTCTCTCTTTCCTCTCTCTCTCTCTCTCTCTCTCTCTCCCTTCCTCTCTGAAGTAAATAAAAATCTATGTTTAAGGAGGGGGGTGGGAAAAATGTAGACACGGACACACAGAGGGAGGACGATGTGGAGACCCAGGGAGAAGAGGCCGTCTGCGAGCCACGGAGAGGCCTGGCCCAGATCACACCCTCAGAAGAAACCGTCTGCGCTTATATCTTGAATTTGGACTTTTACCCTCCAGAACTGTGAGGCGATACAGTCCTGTTGTGGTTTGTTTGTTTTTGTTTTAATGTTTTTTATTGATTTTAGAAAGAGGGGCAGGGAGAGAGACTGGAACATCGATTGGCTGCCTCCTGCATGGCCCCTACTGGGAATCAGCCCTCCAGCCCAAGCATGTGGCCTGACCGGGAATCGAACCAGGGATCTTTGGATGCATGGGATGACACCCAACCAATGGAGCCACGCTGGCTGGGCGGTTCTGTTGGGTTCTAAGCCACTCAGTGTGTGGCACTTTGGTATGACAACCCCAGAAGACAAATACAGTTGTTATATAAGAAGTCTCACTACGCCGAGGCCTCCATGCCGTAAGATCACCAAAGCCACATACACATATTCTGGTGACAGTCCCTGCTGAGTCCCGACTGACAGCCAGCATCAGCCACCAGCCATGAGAGTGAGGACATCTCCAGAGGAGCCCAGCCACCACCACAGACCAGCGCGTCTCTCAGTGTCTCAGACATCACGGAGCAATGGATCCTCTGTACCCTGTGTGAGCTGCCGGCGCACGGAGTCTGGCGCATGATCAGTGAGGTTCCTCACGAAAGCTCTGTGGCTCCACGCAGCAGTGCTCGTGGGCACGGTGTCCCGGCCGTGCGGGCCGGTGCGGGGCTCCGTGCCTCCGAAGGCAGGTCTGCTCCGCGTGCAAGCTCAGCAGCCTTGGTGTCTCCGGGGGTGTCTGGCGGGAGGATCTTTGCTGAGTCTTGTCTCCGAGCGAGCAGGGCTGGCCCACGTGGCCGGACCCTGGCTAGCCCGTGAGGAGGACTGTCTGGCCTCTGAGGAAGCCAGCCACCCTCCCTCAGCCTTTTCTTCCGGCTTCTAGGGCCGGCCAGGCTCCCAGAGGCAGCGCCCAGGCTGATCACTTCGCAGAGGGCTCTGAACTTACTTGTAATCGTGGTCATTTTGCCACTGGCTTTGTGCACCAAGGGTGCTGCTGAGAGGCAGCATACATTTGGGGGGCGGAGTGGGTCCTGGGTTTAAATTCTGGCTGTGCAGCCCGGGCGGCATGGCTCAGTGGTTGAGCAATGACCTATGTACGAACCAGGAGGTCACGGTTCGATTCCCAGTCAGGGCACAGGCCCGGGTTGTGGGCTCGATCCCCAGTGTGGGGTGTGCAGGAGGCAGCTGATCCATGATTCCCTCTCATCATTGCTGTTTCTCTCTCCCTCCCTCTCTCTCCCTCTCTCTCGCTCTCTCTCTCTCTCTTCATATCTTAAATCAATAAATATATACATATAAATTTCCAGATGTGCAACCTACTAGCTGTACGGTCCTGGAAAAGCCGTACAACCTCTCCAATCTGCCTCTTCATCTGCAGAGTGAGCAAGTGACAGCACCCGCCTAGCAAGGGCTCTCACGAGGCTCCGGCAGGACATTCCCGTGGCCGCACGGAGTCAGCCCCCAGCGTCTGTGAGCCCTTGCGGTTATGCACCAGTGTCCACGGCTTGCTTGCAGGGATGTCTGTGTTCTTCAAGGCCGCCTCACTTGGTTCCTGGGAGCATCCCTGCAGAGGGGGAAAGGTGGCTTAAAATAACCCCCAGAACGCTGAGCCCTTTCAAAAGTTCGTTGAAGAAAAAAAAAAAAAGCGAGATTCCAGACAAACCTAAAGTGGCCTTGTCATTACCGGTTTTATTGTTCCGAGCGGCCTTGAAAGCCCTTGGCTTTGAAGCTGGGAGGGTAGCAATTAGGCCCCTCGTGAAACGGCATCGCAGCTGTAAGCCTTGCCACGGGGCACAGGGCTGCACCTCCTTCCCCATTTTGTGGCCGCCGGGTCTGGTGTCTGCACCCGTCTGGACAGACCAGGGCCAGGCAGGAGTGGTGGGCGGGCTGCGTGATCCCCTCTTCGCCCGCCGCCCTGATGACTCCCAGAAAGGGAAGGCAGATGGGGTGACTCAAAGGAAGCCATCTCCTTCCCCCTCCCCGCCGCCCCCTCCCTGCGAGCTGCACCCTGACATGCTCCTTCGCCTGGGGGCCAGACGGAATCCCTGCTCAGGGCCCTGGGATGCTTGTGAGCCCCCTTCCCAGGCGCTGGCACAGAGATCAGACCGCAGGGTGCCTTGTGGATAGGAGAGGATTCTCTCTACATGGCAGCCTGCCTTGTGCGAGGAGGCACTTTTGTCAAGAAAAAAAACACACACACAAAAAAAACCCCAACCATCTCCAGGCTGGCTGCTTGCTGGCTGCGAAGCCTCCTCCTGCCCCACGCGGGGCAAGGCTTGTCTAAATATTTGGCTTGATCCTGCTTTCTGATTCATCCTGTGCAGGAACCTCTGTAATTTCATCTGCTGCCTGACTCAGAGGAGGAGACCTAAGTGCAAGTGCGGAGCGCGCGCCCCGGAGGCCAGGCCGGCAGCCAGCGCCCCCTGCTCCCCCCCGCCGGCCTCCGGGCTCAGGGAGCGACGCGGGCGCTCTCCCCAGCCACCAGCCTCAGATGAAATCTCTTTTGTCTGAGATGATTAATGGAGCCCCTCGCACGCCTGAGAGCGCAAGGGTGTGAGGTGCACTTTGTACCTTTTCCAAGGTTTTTTTTTTTTTGATGCTAAATCCATTTGCATCTCATAAATTATAGTGGCTCCAAAATGAAGTGTGCCTGACAGCAGCAGGCAGGGTGTGGGTGCCACTGAAACATTCCCTCCTGGCCCTGCTCCCCCCCCTCCCCATCCCCTCTCTCTGGCTCTGAGACCCTAGGAGAAAGCCTTCTTGTCATTCAGAGGAGGGAGGGGGCAGCAGAATGACCTAGATTCCAAATGTGCAAGACAGGTAGAGCCTGCTGGCCCGTCTTCAAACGCTGCCGGGCGCAGGGGAGCGGGATGGGAAGGAGACCGCGGGAGGAGGCTCTCCAGGGTTCGTGCTTGGACCCAACCTCTTCTCTTTCTGAGGTTTGTCTGCTTGGGAAAGGCTGCGAGCTGGGCCCCTGAGCCCAACTCCTACCCCCACCTTGTGTCCCTGGGTGATGCTACCTGGGTAGGGAGTAAGGGAGGGGTATGATTGACAGCAGAGCTAAGGTATTCCGTGTGCAGGTGTGTGGAGCAAGGGAAGGGGGCCCCTAGGGGGCAGGGAGAGGTGGGGATAGCAGCTCAGGCACCAGGCCTCCAGGAGTCGAAGCCGATGGAATCCCAAGCTTCTTTCCACCTCTTTCCAGCTGTGTGGCCTTGGACAAGCAACTTGCCCTCTCTGAGTCTCTCTTACCTCATCCACTCATTCATTTTATGCCTGTTACACACACACACACACACACACATAATTAATTTCAGAGAGGAAGGGAGAGGGAGAGAGAGAAAGAGAAACATCAATGATGAGAGAGGATCATGGATCGGCTGCCTCCTGCACGCCCCCTACTGGGGATCAAGCCCGAAACCTGGGCATGTGCCCTGACTAGGAATCAAACCATGACCTCCTGGTTCATAGGTCGACGCTCAACCACTGACCCACACCGGCCGGGCTCCATGCCTATTATCTGAGCACCCCTTCTATGTCAGGCCTAGCCCTCCCACTTTGGGGGTCGAACGACCCTTTCACAGGGGTCGCCTAAGACCATCGGAAAACACATATATAATTACATATTGTTTTTGTGATGAATCACTATGCTTTCATTATGTTCAATTTGTAACAATGAAACTGGGGGTCACCACAACATGAGGAACTGTATGAAAGGGTCGTGGCATCAGGAAGGTTGAGAACCACTGGTCTAGACGCTACACAAATAAACACAACCACACGTGTGCATAACACGCAAGATGGTGTGGGGCTGAGAGCCACAGGGCGCGGTGTGGGGCTGGCTGAGGCTGGGAGGGTGAGGGGCTCCGCTTGGGAGACGGAGAAGGTGCACGGGGGCAGGCAGCGTGGCGGGAGGGACCACCTGGGGAGGGTGGCCTGGCGTCCCTGCTGCTGTCACTATTATTTGACCCGAGCAATGTGTGTGGCGGAGAAGATGCTGAAGGGCAGAGGGAAGAGAAGCTGGGAGGGAGGTGGCCTCAGAGCCAGGGTGAAGGGCGCACAGCCACAGCACGACGGGCGTCCCGTCACTTCCCACCAGGCCGCCCTCCCTCCATCTCGGGCCCCCAAGGCACAGGCGGGCGGCACTTCACCCAAAAGGTCGGCCAGCTAGAGTTTCACGAGCGGGCATTCCAGGCCTGGGGCCCGCACAGGGAGCGACCTGCCCGTGGTCAGGCCTCCAAGTTCCCGTCTAGGACCAGCTGCCCATCCCAGTTGGCCTCAGCGGCTGCCAGGCAGGGGCGGGGCAGGCGCGGGAGGAGAGACGCCGGCCCCAGGCAGCTGTCCGCCCAGGAGAACCTGAGCCAAGGGCAGGGGCACCCCAGGCTCCGCGCGGAGGGGACACAGAGTGTGTATATATGTTTTAATGGATATGAATGCACATAACACACACACGTGGGATTTACTGCCGTTGCGTGTTTGTTATTCTATTTCGCTTGACTTTCCCGAATTATGGCAGGGGCTGTTGTCTGTCCCCATTTTATGAGTAAGATAAAACAAGACTCAGGGAGCCCTGGCCTGTTTGGCTCAGTGGTTAGAGTGTCGGCCTGTGGACCAAAGGGTCACAGGTTAGATTCCCAGTCAAGGGCATGTACCTTGGTTGCAGGTTCAATCCCTGGTCCCTGTCTGGGCGCGTGCAGGAGGCAACCAGTCAATGTGTCTCTCTCACATCGATGTTTCTCTCGCTCCCCCCCCCCCCACATTGCTCCCCTGTTCCCTTCCTTCCACCCTCTCTAAAGATTAAAGGAAAAAATACCCTCAGGTGAGGATAAAAGAAAAAACAATTTTGTATTAATCTCTATATTCTAAACCCTCTACAATGGACATATATTACTTTTGTGGTTATAAAAAGTAAAAATGCCCTAGCTGGTTTGGCTCAGTGGATAGAGTGTTGGCCTGCAAACTGAAAGGTCCCAGGTTCGATTCTGGTCAAGGGCACATGCCCGAGTTGTGGGCTCGATCTCCAGTGGGGGACTTGCAGGGGGCAGCTGACCCATGATTCTCTCTCATCATGGATGTTTCTCTCTCTCTCTCCCTCTTCCTTCCTCTCTGAAATCAATAAAAATATATTTTTTTTAAAAAGTAAAAATAATTATATCAGAATAGATTAAAAACACACACACAGACCACAAGACTCAGGGAGGTCCAATAGCAGAGGACAGAACAGATGTTCAGACTGAGTCCTGGGTACCTTCAGGGGACAGCCAGGAAGCCGGCGGACACGGCCCTGGCGCTGGGGAGCCCCTCTTCTGCTCCCAGGTTTCATTATGCTCCGCCCAGAGGAACAGGAGGAAGCGTGTGTGTCCTGTTTTTAAGGCTGAAAGAGAGCTGACAGAAGGAGATGCAGGTTAAGCAAGGCCCCCTCTGGTCTCCCTGCCCACGCCTGCGCTGCCCGCACCGTGACCCTACGCCTTCTGCTTCCTCTTTCACTTCGGGAGGGACGCTCCTTGGGTCTGCGTCTGCCTCCTCCGGGGACACGGCGTGCTCTGTCTGAGTCCCGGGGCGCCGGGCAGAGCGAGCTGCCATCGTGTGTGTGTGCGTGTGCATGTGTGTGTATGCGCGTGTGTATGCATGTGTGTATGAGTGTGCATGTGTGTGCGTGCGTGCGTGCATGTGTGTGCATGTGCGTGTGTGTCTGCATGCCTGTGCATACGTGTGTGCGCATGTGCATTCACACACAAAGCACGAGTTTCCGTTCCTAAAACGTGGCGGGAGCCCTGCCCACCTGGGGGGCTGTGTGAGCTGGAGCAGCCCAGCGCCCGCTGTGGGCAGAGCTGAGGGAGTGACAGGCAGCACCTGTCACGTGTCAGGCCTCCGCCGGCACATTTTCTTCTCTCTGAGGCCCTTCGCTGAGAAGCCAGCCCCTGGCACCCCGGCCTCGGTGTCCGCTGTGTGGCCGGCCAGCCTGGTCCAGGCAGGTCCTCCAGGTGGGAGCAGACCTCAGCGGGCAGCCACGTGGCTGGGGCTGCTTTTCTGATGGGCGTCGGAGGCGCTTTACAGGAACAAATGGCAGTCGCCCTGGTATCTGAGGGAAGTTTACAGACACGTAGGGAATGAAAGCTCAGACTTGACCTTCCTGAGGGGCTGAGGCTGGGCAGAGCTCTCTGTCTTTGTTCCCTCCTTTGTCATGGGGACGCGTTCCCGGACACGCTGTCCCTGTGGTGTTATTGTCGTCCGTTTGGAAATGGGCAGGGGATGGAACCAGTGAGAGGCGTTTTCCAGCGCAGCTCTCTGACCTGGCGGCCAAGGAGAGAGAGAAGCGGTGGGCACCTAATGGATGCCTCTGGGGCTTGGGATTTGCGTGGGATCCTAATACAAGGCAATGTCTCACCCCGCCGGCGTGGCTCAGTGTTTGAGTGTGGATCCATGAACCAGGAGGTCACGGTTCTATTCCCGATCAGGGCACATGCCTGGGTTGCAGGCTGGATCCCCAGTGGGGGTGCAGGAGGCAGCCGATCCATGAGTCTCTCTCATCATAGATGTTCCTCTCCCCCTCTCACCCCCCCGTTCCTCTCTGAAATCAATAAAAAACATATTTTTAAAAAAGGCAATGTTTGCTTTGA